TTTTTTTTTTTTTTTTTTTTTTTTTAAATTACTACTGGGAAATTTAAAAGAAAAAAAAAAGTGCATTTGAGGTCCTCATGATCACAAATCTCAGTGAAACTGAAGTCTTTGGGTAAACATTTTTAACCAGTTTGCTTTTGGGCTCAATTTTATGTTATTAGCCTGACTCACAGCCGTTGAGCAAATACAACAATTCCCTTCTTTAAAATCTCTGAAACAATGATTTTTGTGTTTGATACTCGGAGTTATAAAGACCATACTGATCCCTTACCAGACCCTTGAGTTGGAGGATATAAGAATTAACTCAACAGATGACCCTGAGTGAATTGTTGGCCTTATATGATGGCGGCCATTTGTTATAGCATAAAACATTTGTAGATTACAATTCTTTACTTTCAGTTAGAAACAAAAAAAACTTGCCGCTAATTTAATAAAAAGGTCCAGTTTAAATGTACAGGCACAAATTGTCAGTAAACAGACTTATTTACATCAAAAAACTTTAAAAAAAAACTTAAAAAAAAAACTTAAAAAAAAAAAAAAAGAAAGAAAGAAATTGGAGGGAAAACAAAATAAATGCACACCCCACTTTAAATCTCCATTGTGCCACACGTTCTTCCACATAGATGATATGTTTGCATCATAACACCTGGAGCTCATAATACTGAGTCCTTTTCACATCCGGGAACCCCTTTCCTGAAGAATCTGCAAAGACAGAAACATTAGATAATCAGCAAAAATGCTCAACACTACACAATCTGCAGCAGTTCAGTCACTTTTAGTGTCCCCCAGCACCGATCTACCTCTTTATTAATGTCACAGTGTCTGTCACACTTAAAGCACAAGATGGTTGAAACAAACACACCGATTAGGGGCAAAGAAAAAGGAAACGCTTGCACGAGTAAAAGTAGTAAAGAGTCTTTATCTTCTACTTTCAAGTCTTCTCACTCATTCTGGTTTTAAATTTTTTTTGACATTAACCACTTCCATCCCCCTATTTCCCCCCTTTTTCTGTTAATGTAACAACCCCACAACACTAGAAAAGCAGCAGTTGCTCAAAATGTTAATTGTAAATGATAGGGTCGGCCTCAGAAAGACTTTGGGCTTCTGTAGAATAAAGCCACAGTTTTCCTTTCATACTGTGAGACTTTTCAGAGACCCTACGAGATTTGTGATCTGTGACACATGCTCATACTTTGAGGATTTTAAGGATTTCTTCAAGACCTAAAGAACACATGTAAACACCAGTGTTTTTACATCATTTCAAACACCTACGTCACACAGAGACACAACACTTAAAAGTTTACCCAAAACGAAGAATCTCTGACATTTCCTTCAGTGAATTTTGAGAAAATGGACTAAACATCGAGGGTACCTCATTTACTGTTGATGCAGTAATATCCTGTGATATTGATGCCCAAAGTTGGTCAGAGAAAAACTAATGCTGAGCAAAAATGAGATTTTGGCTTGAAACTGTGACACCATGAGTGGGAGTGAAGTTGATTTTTCAAGTTTTTTAAGAGCTTAAATGTGTTTCAGCTCTGATTTCACGCGGCTATCGACTGAGCTGTATTAGAAAGGTTACGAGGGCTCAAAAATACTGTGAAAATACAGGAAATTAAAAAGTGTAAAACGTCAACCTTCTTTTACATATTTTGAACTGTATTTTTTTTTAACATTTTACAAAATTTTAAAAAGGTTAAAAAAAATGTACATCCCTTTTCAAAATATATTAAAGTTAAAAAAAAGTGCTGATTTTGACAGGCAGGTGGGAACTTTTTCCCCTCCTGATTTCAGAGGACAGATCAAACCTTTGAGTCATTTCTCCTGAGTTAAAATTTATGTAATTCAATGTGAGGCACATTAAGAAGAAAATACCTGCTGTTTAACTGGTTTCATTTCTTAAGTATTTTGGGAAGAAAATATATTTTGCAAGGACAAATCTTTACTGGAATTATTTCCTTGTGAAATGTGATTTTTACTTTTCTTTTGATGCATAAAAATGTGCCAGTAATTTTGAAATTCCCACCTTTAATCATTAAAAACCAGCATAGCACAGACACACGAGTGGTCTGACTTAAAAACAAACAAAACCATTGTAACCTACAGCTATTTATGACAAAGAAAGGGCAGAGGGTGCACACCAGCCCACCCATCTCTTTCAATGTCATTCTCAGGGAGAATGAGTCAAAATGCAGCAGTTGATGATTCAGCATTAACCAATGCTGTGAGCATGTCAATAATTACAGGGGTCTGAAACCAGATGGGAAGAGCTCCATTTGTTTCAAAGAGAGCTTCACCTGCAATAAAGTCTCCTGCCTCAGCAGGAGCAGTGAGGCTTTTGATCCAGCTTTGGCCTGCAGACTCCAATGTCCAAAGCTGATTTGTAACCTTGATTCTATCATTGGACTTTTGTCTCTTATAAGAGCTCAGCTCTCGCCGTCTTTGAAAACAAATGTGAAACATTTTGAGGAGCGTTAAAAAGGCATCTTGGAAAAAGGGAGGAAGGAAAAACTAAGGAGGTGTGCTGGGAAGGACTACGAGCAGTTGAGCGCTCACCAGTGAGTCATAAGTGCTCAACCCTAATCAGAGTCATTCATTTCATAATCCGTCTCTTCGTCCTCGCTCTGAGCAACATGCAGCATGCAGACAGCACAGAAGAAGACAAGAAAGGCATGTTGTAAAAGAAATGAAAATGAATGAAGGTGAAAAAGGAGAACAAGGTGAAAAGTAAAACTAACAACGGATCAAAGGGGATTATCATTAAATCAACAATGTGAAGTGCGTCAGAGTGACACAAAAACATAATCCAAGGACACCTTCCCAACCAAGGTCAGTTCCCTTGTTTTGGATGTTAAATCTAGATATTATGTCCCAAACAAAAAATAGCTACATAACAAAATGGACTGAGAAATAATGAACAGAATATAAAACCAGTAATAAGATCTTGATTTGGATAAGATGCCCCTGGAGAGACTAAATGAATAGAGCACAGTAAAATCTCTACAGTCTACATTTGCTTCAAATATGCTCTGACAGCCTCTAATCTCTTTAATAATCAGGAAAATAAAACCATAAATACAGGCGTAACAATATTAGTCTTCATGTGCTGCTTCCTCTAAGGAGTGGGCCACTATTACCCCAATTAAAAAATAATAATAATAAAAAAAGAAAATTTAAAAGACACTTTGCCAGTAGCAGCACAAACCTGTGCCATCTTAATGCCCAGAGCTGGATTACACAGTTTAGACTTCAGGTCAAATTTAACAGAAATTTCAACAGCAGGTTAAATTTAGTTTGTCTACGTGATGTGAAGACAAAGTTCTGCTTATGCCTCAACTGAAATAATTACTCTCTGTAATATTTTTCCATTATTAGTTCTTTTTCTACGGTTGCTTGTGGTTTTTCTGTTCGTCAATTTTCTGGTTAGTCAACAAAATTTAAGAAAAGGCGGCCCATTGCTTTCTTTTCCGGGGGTTTTTCTTCAGGAAGTTGTTGGTTTTGTTTTCGGTTCCTTGGGGGATTTTCCTTGCTTCCGGCCCGGGCCTTTTTTCCCGGTTTTTTGTATGGACTCATAACAAGTCCTTTCACGCACTTACCTTAGCCTTCTCACTGGGCTCACTGTTTGTCCCGTATGATTGATTGTGCAACTCCTTGGAGACTACACACAGGAACTCAGCTTGGTCTTCGTTTCCGTAGTTGTAGGAGGAGCCGATGCTGACGAGCTAGAGAGATGAGAGCAGAGCAAAGACGAAGAATTAGAATTAGACTGATAAAGGCAAAAATCTGGGTTACTCGTGGTGGGAAAACACAAGGAGGGATACCTTATACTAATGTAAAACAGGTGGAAAACCAAACAGGGAGCACAGAGAGTCCTTAAATTTAAGCTGCCTCAGTTCTTAGTAAAACCTTAAAGCCTAACCCGGAGTTAGTTACATCACATTTAGCGCCTTTACTAGGTAGACAGCAATGTAGGACAGGCTTGGGAGTGACACAACAGATCCGCGGTCAGATTTAATCTCAATATGGCAAAGCTGCACAATTATATGGTGCACTGAGGGCAACAGGGTGTGCCATTTCAAATGTTAAAGCTAGCCATTTTGAAAAAGGCTACACTGAAAATCTGAGAGTTGTTATAAAAAACATTTAAAAAGAATTCGTGATCTCAGGACCTGCAGACATGCCAGCACTGATTTCAACATAAAACATGGGAAAGCTCAAAGGAAACTAAAGAAAATATAATCTGTGGTTCACAAATTAAGACTGTAGAAATAAAAAAAAAACAAACAAAGAAAAGGATGAACAGCAGATAGTTACTGACAGAATACGAGTGCAAGGGACGGATCACAGGAAGCAACATGCTGATTGAGGGTGAAAAAATGAATAAATAAATTTAAAATAAAAATCACTGGGGAATGGTGGACTGACAGGACCAGGCTTAGCATCTCCTACAAAGAGAAAACCGCAGACTCACTTCCATCCAACAATTCAGATCCATTTTAAAGCTCTTTGACACAAGATTTGACCCTTGCCCCATTGAGCGTTTCTATAATGCGAATGGCAAATGTTTGGAGTTTTCACTAATGCTGCAATCATCACACTGTTGCTGTTGTTGGGCTGTACTCTCATTAAAGCAGACCTATTATGCTTTTCTTTTACTTCCATCTTAATAAACATATCAAGCTTCAACTACAAAGGCTCAAGCAAAGGCAACATTGTTAAAAGGGTCATATCAGGCTTAACCGAGCCCCATCAAAACCTTCAGTTTGTGAGAGGCAGCCAATCAGAAGAAAGCTGGCTTAAAGGGAGGGTATAAGCAAACATAATGGGTCCACTTTAATGGTTTGTTTTTTGGTCTTGTTTTGTCTCAAGGGCTTACTCAACACTTGATAGTGGAAGTAGGCCAGTACAATTTGAACCAAATGAAAACCTCAACGAAACCACAGCACCTTGGTTTAAGCAAAAGAGCCTACAAATAAAACCTTTCTACAGCAGTCTTAAAAAACATGGCAATAATTTCTGCTCTTTCCCAGTCACATCAGTCTAAACAAAAACCAAAAGGACACAAGGGGACAAATAAAGGAATGACCAAGTGAGATTTAAAAAAAACCCCAAATACATAAAAAATAAAATAAACAACAAAAAGAAGAAACAGCTACTTCTGGATTTGATTTCGTGTTCATCCGCTTTTGCTGTTGAACATTAAGAGTGTGTACTGCAGGCTGCATGTATACAGTCTGTACCCAGGTGTGCATGTTCAGACATGCATCGCCTCATTAGCCCTGCTGCCACAGACTTGTTGTTGTTAGCGAGCTCTCCAACATTATCACAGCAAAAAAAACACAAAACACCCCTCAAATAATCTCAACTAGTTATCTTGGATTCCACTTGGCACACAGCTCAGTGAACCATCAGTTAAACAACAAATTAGATTTATATAATTGGAGCGTGTCCTAGAAGACTCTCCTCGTCTGATGGTGGAGCTTTAAGCTTTGCATTGGGAGTGTTCGTTTTTTTGGAGTTTCCCCATCTGACGGGTATAAGGAGATTAGTGGGTTTTCAGCTCTGATGGGAGAGCCAATGATCCCACATTGCAGAGAGATTCAGTCACACATTACACGGACTCCAAACACCCAAACATGCGGTTTCTCTTTGAAGAAAAAAATAAAAAATTAACCTTTGTCATAATTTCAATATTCCATCTGGATTCCCTTGTAATGCTCGACAAAATCAGTTACAAAGAAGATTACCTAAACGGCAGATAAAAGCAACACTGCACTTCTAAACAACCAGTACTAGATTCCAGCGCCCACCTCCCTCAGCTCCTCCAAAAGTGACTGCATCAAAGCAAAACAGATAAAGCTGCTGACATACTGAATACAGAACGACAAAAACTAAAGTAAAGCAAAACTAAACAAAACAAGACAAAAAAGGACAAAAAACAAAAAGGTGTCGGGGTCTCTTAGCCTCACTGGTGAGCAAGCAGTATACATGAAAACGGAAAATTATCAACTGAAAAATTAACCGATGGCTACGTGTCTACTTGGGACAAACAATGGCCAACGGGGTGTGTACGGACAACATGGGGATCATGCAGTGACCAGCCCGTGGACAGAGATTCGTGGGACACACCTCTCCGCTGTTGTTTGGCAAAGCAGACTCCTCTCCCTTCACCTCCCTTGACACAATCAGCAGAAACTCTGACTGGTGGGCCCGCCCGTAACCTATACTGACAAGCTGCAACAACCAATCAGAGCACAGAAGGGATGCCCGGATCATGTATGCGGACATTGAGAAAGATGTGATTTGCTGTTCGGCTTTTTTTTTAAATCATTTATTTATTTATATATTTTTAAACCATTTCCAATGTGGACAATTGCCCTTTCTGGGTCAACGTGAGCATAGCGGGGTGGGTGAAGCACATGGAAGGACGATTGTCGCTGGGACACTGTGGGAGATTTACCTGTTCAAACTTCCAGCCGTCAGACATGGTGGACACCATTTGAGTGAGCTCCTCCTCCTGGCACTGCAGCACCCGGTAAACATGCTTTACTGGAACCTGAGAGCAAGGATGAGCACATAATGTATTCATTTTTTTAAAAAGGCGGGCATTACAATTATTGAGAAATCCATTGAAACGTCACATAAATCCATGTACCTGTGATGTTTTGCAATCGCGTTCCCTGATCTTGTCCTTGATGAGCTTTATTAATGATGTGATGTTGTAGAATTCGGCTTCTTCTAAAACTCCTAAAACAAGAAATAAGGCAAAGGATCTCAGACAGACATTCTACTGGACAACAAACACTCCAAAGCATCCTTTGAAGCAAACCAGCAAAGGAAAATGTTTGTGCCTTAGCTCTGCAACCAGCACATCTCAAAAAGTGCAACTTTTACTTTGACAGCAAATATTCAGTTTCCACTTTACTTTTTCCAAGCTTCACAACTGCTTGGCGACAAGTTTGCCAGTGTTTGCAGACAAGTCAGCATCTTCCAAACTAGGAGCAGTCGAGGCAGTGTGCCATTATCTAAAGCAATCACAAGGTTTTCAGCATAGCACAAAATATTTATTTGCGATCAGCTACACCTAGTGAGTGCTGCAATGCAAAAACAAATATTTGGGAGACAAACAGGCAACGACTAATGAAGCTTTTGCAAGTTTACTAATTGAAACCTTATAAATCTTGTTATCCAAACGCTCTCTTTGGGTCATCTTCATGTGCTGAACATTGAGTGAGTTTGGGTTTTTACAAGAGGGGCAAAAGTGCACCACTGTAATCACTTTCTAAGGGAATTATTATCCCAAAATTAGCCTTACATATAGTAGTTCCCATGGGGTGCTTTGCGTAATGATCATCACTATTGTTTAAAATATTTGGCACGAGTTTGATTAAATTGAAGCATTCCTTCATGTTCCACAGAGACATTACCTTCCTCTGCCAAGTCCCTGTTGAGCACCAGTTTGCCATGCCTTAAGTAGTTAAGCACTGGCCCGAAGTACGTGGGGTCTCTGTCTATGAGATAGGCACCAGTTTCATCCTGCAAAAAAATCAAAGAGACAAAAACGTACAGTTATTAGAAAAAACAGAAACTGCAATCATTGTTTTGTATTTTTTTTAAAATCCAAACAAGCATTTTAGGTAAATTTAGGATTGTTTTAATATATTTAAAAACTCTCCCATAGATATGACACAACTTCATTAAATGACATTTGTCCATTGAAAGGATTTTTTGTTTTTCATGAGCCAGTGTGTACTTTCAAGTGAAACATAATCTGAGCACAAACAACACCCACTGCACATCAGTGAACAAAACTCATGGGATGAGATTGTAAACGCAGGAGTGTTTACAATCGCCACATTGGTTGAGAAGACATGCACACACAGAGCCACACATACAAGCACTCTGGGATATCACTGTGCTATTCCCACAGGCCTTGGGTTTGATCCCGATTCCTTCACAACCACTGGGTATTCCCCTATTTCTGTGATTAGACTGTCTTCGTCTCATGAGGGAAGAAGCGGCTAAAACAATTAGAGCAGAACAGAAAAAGATTTGGAACAGCAGGGCTAACCCACCACAGGGACCAGGAGAAAGCACCTTGGCTTAAAACCAGAAATTAGCCTAGTCTGGGCTGTTACACAGTTGGCCTCACACATAATATAAAAGACAGTCTGTACAGCTGTCCAATAGCCAGACTGAATCTACAAGCTGTTCAATACAATGCCATATTTAGTGAGTAAAATGTGCTGTAACATTCAATGAAATACTCAGCACAGAGGAAAGGCCTTGAGCATATTTTGAGCTCGTCTTCAAACGCTTCTGAGACACAGTTGCTCATGTGTCTTCAGGGGTCAATCCTAGCAAATTACTGGTTTATGCTGCTTCTGACATTATTTGCCCAAGAACACACCGGCAATAAGTCATAAATTTCAGGACACTACATGAATCAGAGATAGTTCATCGTGCAGAGAGGAATTCATTTTGTAACCCATTAATATTTTCAATAATGAGAAAATGTCCCAGTGCAGTTTCTTTTGTAATGAATCTTTAAGCCCTCTTGGCTGGATGACCCCTTTTCCATGGCAAAAAATACTCCACCACAGCCCAGTGGAGCTCTATTCTGGTCTCAGTGCTCCGTGTCAGATTCTTACAAGTCCACAGTCACTGATTAAGCACGTATAGAGGTACGCCTTTATGGAGGACGCAACTCATCACAGCCATCCACATAACTCTGTACGCGATGGTTTGGCTTTCATAGTGAAGCTTAAGCTCCATCTATCTATTCAGTTGCACAAATGTCCCACTGCAGATCTTCATTGGAGTTTCATAGAAATAACAACGACAACAAAAAAAACCATATGTTTTTCCACTTTCTCCTTCAGATTATCATTGCTATTCTGCAAAAGGAAAAAAAGTGATAAAAACACCTTCAACCTGTTCTTTTAAGTTGTGCATCACTCAAGCTTGAAACGCAGTTTAAGATCAGTCAGAAATGACAGGAAAGTATAATGTCAGTCTTTGTCTAAACTACATGCAAACACCCCCAATTTGCCAAGCAAACCTTTTACTACAATGGTTCACTGTTAAATTTAAAAGGGGAAACTATGGTTCAGCGTGTGGGTGCGTGGGTAGCTACAGACGACCGCCTACCAGAGGCAGCGAGTTGGTTGTCAGATGGGGACAGTGACAAAAATATGTAGTACAACCGGTTTGTGAGCCAAACCGTGGAGAAGAGCAAAGTTATAGACATACACAAAGCTCCAGTGAAACCAAGTGTTTAAAAAAACAAAACAAAAAACACACAACAACAACAACAAAACCCAGCAGCCACTCTTTGTAACTTTCATACTTAAAATTTTTTTTATCTTTTCATTAAAATTATCTTTTGATTTCCCCACCGTTTTCTTCTCACTTCTTTCATTTCTGGTGAACTCCTTTCCTGTTGTGACCCACTCACCAATTAGCACTCAATGAAAGCACAGTATCTCGAGGTCTTGTTCGCGAGTGATGGGAGAAGGGAGCTGGAGATTGACAGACGGATTGGTGCTGCGGCCGCAGTGATGCAGATGCTGCACCGGTCCGTCGTGGTGAAGAGGGAGCTGAGTGTAAAAGCGAAGCTCTCAATTTACGGGTCGATCTATGTCCCTACCCTCACATATGGCCACGAGCTGTGGGTAGTGACCGAAAGAACGAGATCGCAGATACAAGCGGCGGAAATGAGCTGGCCTCTCCCTTAGAGATAGGGTGAGAAGCTAATCCATCCGGGAGGGGCTCAGAGTAGAGCCGCTGCTCCTCCACATATAAAGGAGCCAGCTGAGGTGGTTCGGGCATCTGACAAGGATGCCTCCTGGGCGCGGTGTTCCGGGCATGTCCCACGGTTAGGAGGAGGCCCCGGGGCAGGCCCAGGACATGCTGGAGAGATTATATCTCTCGGCTGGCCTGGGAACGCCTTGGTGTTCCCCCGGATAAGCTGGAGGTGGTGGCTGGGGAGAGGGAGGTCTGGGCTTCTCTGCTTAGGCTGCTGCCCCCGCGACCTGGCCCTGGATGAAGTGGAAGAAGATGGATGGATGGATGAAAGCACAGTATAACCCACATTGCCCTCCGGTAAGATCCGAACGTTGTTCAAAGGAGCATGTTTTCATTGGTTGAAAACCTCTCTCTGTAGGCTCTTCATAGGAAAATTAGCCCAGTTTCATATCACATTGTTCCCAATAATACTGGTATAAAGTTTTAGGGGATATAAAAACATCACTATGTCATTGTTATAGCAATGCCATGTATTTATGCTCACCAGTGCACGCAACAACAAGAAAAGCCTGGGTATGTCAGAGAACCGCAAGAGCTGCCATGTCAGCCTTCAAGCATGATTTAGTATATCATCCTATAAAGCAGAACACTCTGCAAAACGTGCATGAAAACTGTTCATGCTGAAGGCAGAAAAAAAACAAACTTGAGGCAAAAGACACACCGTTTAGTATAAATCAGGCTATGATAGAGGAGATGCTAGCAGGTGGTGATGCACAAACCCATGATACAAATTCCCAGGTAGAAAACATTGTTCAGTTTTATTGTGCAGCTCCCGAAGAGTTAAAATACTTTAGTTACTACTAAACGAAAAAATAAACTTGTTTATTTGTTTGTACGGACATACTGCAACTCAATTTCCCATTAGGGACAATAAAGTTACCATTGACATTGACCATTAAACGATATTTTAGGCAATTCTTTTATGCTTGTAGTTAAAATTTAGAGGCTCATTTTGTGCTTATATTTGATGTATGCTGCCACTGGATATAATGTGTCCAACAATGTTACATGATAATGCTGCTGCCACCTTAATTTAAATTAGGAAGCTGTCATCAATGACAGCAGCTGACTGGAGATGAAGGATGGAAAATACCCTACATTTACTTACACTTCTAAATGTTGCCGTCTGCAAATGTCTTCAGTTCCCCCCCTCCTTCTATTGTGACATAATATTGAGGCTATATCACCTGCATTCGAATGTGACACATTCGCAATACCATAAATAAAGTATTAGCTGCATCTATACAGGAAGTGTTTTACAGAAATGCAGTGACCAGAGACCAAAGAACATCAAAGATATTTTGCGACTTCAAGTGGCTACAGCAGTGACTAAAAGAAAAACAAGAAAAAAATTATTGGTGACATGAAGCTGGCAGGTCCTAAAAAAAGACCGGAATGTCCGTTAGCGACTCATCGTTAGCTTTCAAGCAGTGAACGATGAGTGAACTGTTTCCTGTGTGGACGCACCTTTGTTAGAGCCACAAAAGTGTTTCAACATTTATGATTTAACTGAGCTGTTTGCCTGATTATCACAATTTTCCTTTTTCTTTCCCATCCACAATCATGCAATTTTTCATGTCAGATCTTTGCAAGCAACAAAACAACTATTCTTGCTTTTTGAACCACACCTGTGGGGTCATTATGTCACAGTAACTACTTTGACTTTTTGTAGTTGGAAAAACTACTGGTTTAACACAGTGACCGGTGCTTTGACCAGCTGCGTACCAGCAGAAAGTGTGCTACCGCTTGCTGAAGACAGAGGAGGAGGAGAGGGGGGGATGCACGTTTGAAGGGATTAAGAGTGAAGTTAGGAGTGCACAGAACACAGTGGAGACTTTAAATGATGGTTGGTGTGACAGAGAAGGGTTAGATGGAGGTAGATGATCCGCTGTGACAACCGCTAAAGGGAGGAGCTGAAAGAAGACAACTGCAACACTTACGGTCAACTACCATTTCAGTGATTACACCTGTGTTTGACTGGTCAACATGTCGGCACTGAGATGAGGTATATTCAACATTAGTTTCACTTTGACTGCAGTGACTCTATGACGACACATCTCAACAAGAATTTTGGAGAACTGTGTAGAAAATGGGTGAAGAGGGAGATTCACTGCTGCCTACCACAGCCAGGACACTTGCAAAAAAAGGGTTATATAAAAAAACAAAACAAAAAAAATAGTCCAAAAGTTACGGTGTGTGTCATACCACCACCAACACCCACAGCAGGTTGTTTTTGTGAACGTTCACGTGTATGGTACAACTGAACTGAAGAGAGCTGAAAAGCATTATGAAACTACATGTGTGCAGCATCCCCCAGCCCACCCCCCATTCCTCAGATCATCATCACATTACCCAATAAACAAAAAGATGGCTTGGTTCCATTTAGCTGATTTGGTTTCAGGGTTCCTGGTATTGTGTAAATTGGCTCATTGAGTGACTTGAAAAACATGGCTATTGTTTGTGTTATTAGTAACACCTGTGCTCACCTACTATGAAAGTCAACATTATGTTGTATGCACTATACAAATAAGCCTGGTGTTGACACACATACCAAAAGTTATCAGCAGCTTTAACTGAAAAATTGCATACTCCTGAAACACGAGGGCACGTGCATACACTTCTGTAAACTTGCTGCATATTTGTAAGCTCCACTATGAGGCCGCATGAAACCCCTGAGCTCGGTGGGGTTGGCCCTGTGGGTATGCATACATTTATGGGGAGATTGGGGGTGGTCACAGTGACCCGCTTCGTATGGTTAAGGGGGTTCTGATATGAGCCTGTGTGCACAAAGAGGAGCGTGTTTTTAATTAAAAACAAAAGACTGTCTCCGGGGGCCCAGGCTGAGGAGCACTGGGCAACAAACAAAGGGGTGTGGACAGTGAGTGAAACAGAGGACTGCTGCTGCTAGGATGCACAGCAGACGGGCAGAAATGAGAACTGAAGAAGAAAGTTGAAAAAGACGCTGAAATTGCAGAATGAAAAAGTCAAACCTCAATTATACATTCTTGATGTTTCTTCAATTAAATGAAAATGCAAGACCAATAAGGAACCAATTAAACCACATTTAAGAAATATTGAAACCGCATACTTTTTTTTTTCATTATTATTTTTGGTCTGACAATGACCTCAGACAAGTAAACATTTAGGTAAACAAAAGTCAATTAGAAGGGCGGGCTTCACAGAAGAGGGAAGTGTATTGTATGAACCTTATCATTCTTTCTACACACAGTACATATCCTTCAACAGGAAATACCACAGAGACCCAACCCTTCGTACACATGATGCCAAATAAGGTTTTCTG